TTTTTTAATGAACACTTAATTTTTAGGTTTATTGGTGATAATATAATAAAAAATAATTCTTTTCTTGTAGAAATCAGTTTTCCATTTTAAAGAAAAAGTTTTAAAAATAGATTCTAATTTTAATTATATTACTTCATCGATCTTAAAATAATTGTTTACATTTTTTATTTAGTTTGTCTCAAAATAAGTATTTATTTTTAAAACTGTTACAAATAAAATTGTCGTTTACTTAATTAAAAAGTATATAATAATTATATATATCTAAAATTATATCTTGTGGACATTTATTTTGGTACATATTACTATAAAGCAGTATGTGATAAAACATTTAAGGCTCGTTTACCATATGCTTACGGGCAAAAGTCACCACCATCATTTATCTTGTTGGGTAACATTATCGGGAATTAAAATGAATTATTTGTAAGTGTCTTTTACCCGATAAACGTTAACTAGGTAAAAATCTACTCTCTCACTTAACAGTTAAACGTTTAGTAAATGACTCTTAGGGCTGTTCGGTTCGTTTTTTATTAACATCTGCATGGATAAAGTTGTGTATGTTAATAGATAAGTTGTTGTGCTGAATAAACCAACTAAATGATAAAAATAACTATTTTACCCTTGGTTTTACATCGAACATTTATAGATTAAATTTCTCGAAACAACAATATTTGTAAGATAAAATCATAAACTATAAACAAATCACTAAATGAAAGCCCAAATTAGAAAATATATACAAATCTATAATAACAAATTGGTAACAAGATAGAGAAAATAATAAATATAAATAAGAAATCAATAACAAGATCCAGCGCGATGGTGTGGAAGAGGGTAACTGCTGGAGAAACAACGGACGATGATGGCGAGGCCTTGAAGAAGATGCAAATGCCATAGACCGAAGAAGCAAGAGAAATGGGATCGATGGAGGAAGAAGCAACGAGCGGCGATGACGAGGAAGAAGCAACAGCGGACAATGGTTCTAGATAATGAGGAAGAAACAACGATAAATCAATGGAGATAAAGGTTAAACCAAGAGAGCAAACACGAAGAAGGAGACAAATAAGATCGAGAAAAGCTGAGATTTTTTTTGGGGGGGGGGGGAGGGTTTCTAGAAATGTGAAGGGGCAAACTTGGAATAAGGGGATGAATAAATGGCTGAGTCCGTAGGACTCTACTTTCCTGGCTGACCGATTAAGCCACCAGTTGACCGGTAAGTGAGGGCGACGACTCTTACCACGGTAAACGCTTACCGGGTAAATTGTTGTATACGTTGTCGTTTTGGTGGACTATCTTTCCCAGTAAATAATAGTGTTAAATTTTACCGGTAAACACTTATTAGATAAGTGTTTGGTAAACAACGTCTAAAATAAAGAAATTCAAGTGAGACAATGCCAAATAATTGATGTTTCATATCAAGACAAAGGCATGTTGCATCAACATAACTCACTTGTTGCTGTTGGGCCCAAACACCACCATCTATCAAATCTTGTGAGACCTTTGTAATTTCAGTCCAATATATATTGGTCTCGTTGTTACTTCTTTCATAAACCATTTCAAACAAGATGCAATATTTTATTCTCAACTGGTAAATAAATATCAAAATTGATCCGATTTGAAAATACTAGAAGGATACTCGCATAATGCTGCGAGATACATCTCGATTTTAATGTTTCGTTTTTTTTGTTACAGTCGATGTTATAATACAATTTTTATGTGGTTTTGAGAAAACGATAATATTTTTATTTTTGAATAAAATATAAATATAAATATATATATATATATATATATATAATAAATTAAAAAAAAGTTATTGATAATAATACCAAATTAACTATTTAAAATTTCTCTTTTTTTGTATTTTTTTAATTTATTTTTAATTTAATAATATAGTTTTTTATAAAGATAATAATTAAATATTTTGTTAGAACTCAATAATTATTCTAATTATATTTAGATTTTTTATATTTAAAATGAGATATTTATCTTCTATTTGATTATGTTTATCTGCAGTTAGTTACACGAAATAAAAAATAAAGCTTTAATAAGTTGTACTTACGCATAACTTACTTGTAATCTTGAATTTTAAGTAATATGCATCAATAAACAATACTTCATGCATAAAAAATGGTTTTTAAGAGTTTTTGTTAAATGCTTTATAATATAGTATAGTTGTAGTTTATCCATAAATCGACACAATTGACTTTTTCCCATGTCAAACTGTATAGACTTTTCCTAGTTAAGACCGCCAACTCATCCACTAGTGTATTTCTGCGTCTCTTTTAACTCTATGAATCACCATTTTTGTATGATATGAAAGCAAGCAAATGACTCATTTGGGACACAAACTTATCCTTTCAGTTAAGTACAGTACTGTTAACTGGGAATTAAGTTGGTCTTCATCTCCTTCCCATGATATAATAAATGCAATCATGTTAGGTGTTCAGATAAGTCACAAATCCATGCAACTGTATGATCTTAAAGCTACCTGCTAGCTATTGGCTATTAGATGGAAATGGAAATGGAAGCAGCAATTGGTTTTTTGTGTTTTTTTATTTTTTATTAACATCGATATCCAACCGGTTATGCTATGCGAGGGTGTAGCAAAAATATGTTCCAAAAACCACCAATTAATTCATGTTATCTACTACAAACATAATTAAACAAGTAAAGTAAGATGCATGTATTATTCCTCATAATCACACACTTGCAAAATGAACCAAACCTTCTGCTGCTTCCAACCTAAATCAATTTTCATACCTTCCTCTACCCTGCCATCCTCCTCCTCCTCCTCCTCGTTCGGATGCTGCCTCCGCTTCCCTCTGCCTCCTCGCCATCTCTTCTTCTTTCCTTCTACTCGCATCTCCTTCCCATTCCGCTGCCCCGCCACCGCCACCGCCACCATGCTGATGCCTAGCTGCCTCCTCCTCCCGTTTTCTCTTGGCTTCCTCTTCTTGCTGTCGCTGCCACTGCTTCGCTGCCTCCTCCTCCCGTTTTCGCTTGGCTTCCTCTTCTTGCTGTCGCTGCCACTGCTTAGCTGCCTCCTCTTCTTTCTGTCTCCTAGCCGCCTCTTCTTTCCATCTCCTAGCGGCCTCCTCCTCTTCCTGTTGCCTAGCAGCCGCCTCCTCCCTTTTTCTTGCCGCTTCCTCCTGTTTTCTCTTGGCCTCCTCTTCTTGCTGTCGTTGCCACTGCTTAGCTGCCTCCGTCTCTTGTTTTCTCTTGGCTTCCTCTTCTTGTTGTCGCTGCCACTGCTTAGCTGCCTCCTCTTCTTTCTGTCTCCTAGCAGCTTCTTCTTCCCGTTGCCTAGCGGCCTCCTCCTCCCTTTTTCTTGCCGCTTCCTCCTGTTTTCTCTTGGCCGCCTCCTCTTGCTGTTGTTGCCACTGCTTAGCTGCCTCCTCTTCTCGTTTTCTCTTTGCCTCCTCTTCTTCTTTCCATCTCCTAGCAGCTTCTTCTTCCCGTTGCCTAGCGGCTGCCTCCTCCTCCTGCCGCCGTGCTTCCTCCTCCCTCTTCCGTGCTTCCTCCTCCTGCCGCCGTGCTTCCTCCTCCCTCTTTCGTGCTTCCTCCTCCTCCTCTTTTTTCCTTTTCTCCTCCTCCTGCCGCCGTGCTTCCTCCTCTTCCCTCTTTCGTGCTTCCTCCTCCTCTTTTTTCCTTTTCTCCTCCTCCTGCCGCTTAGCTTCCTCCTCTTCCTTCTTCCTTTCTACCTCCTCCTCCCGCTTCCTTGCTTCCTCTCTCTCTCTTGCAATCTCTTCATCCACCAACCTTTCTTCTTCTTCGGCACAAGAAACGCATTCAAGGATGATCGCTTCTCTTTGAGCCGACAAAACCTGATCCATCGTCGTGTTGCTCACGCCAAGAGATGCCGCCAACACCTCCTTATCCAACGCCTGCAAAACCGACGCCTTACCCACTAAAAACTGCGGGTGGTTCTTCTTTTGCGTCGTCGTGAATCCCACGAAAATCAACGACTCGTTGTTGAACGACATTTGAGCCATCGGATGGTATCTTGGCACCACAAATGTATCGCCTTCTTCAACCTTAAACCTCGAGTTTTTACACTCCGTTCCATTTGTAGCACTGGGACACACCACATTAACCATCCCTCGTCCACGCAAAACCACTGCTATTTCCGCCGTCGTTGGGTTCCAATGAGGTCCCATCATTGCCGCCTAACACCACCACAAAACCACCGTAAACAACTGGGAATTGGATCAACAACTAAACAATACTAAAAGTTCTTGATAACTAACCTTGGTAAGATTGACCATGAAAACGCCAAAATTGGAGTCGTTCAGTGCATCCAATTGCTCGCTTGTAACAACGAGACTCCACCCGTTACAATTCTCAACATCATGCTTAGCATCGAATACATTATACGGCTTCTCTTTATCGTCTTCTTTCTTATCTTTTTCATCTTTCTTATCCTTTTCTTTCTTCTTACTGAGATTGAGCACGCCATTGATGTTCATACGACCTCCAAGTAAAGCTCTCATGATTCCATAATGAACCTTCAACTTCACTGTTTCTGCAACTCCATGAACAATGGCTTGTCTTTCTCCTTGTTTTAGCTCTTCTATCACTTCCTCCTTAACCTAAATCACATTTATCGAATATGTGATTCCGCAAAAGTTTTGATTGTTTCCTAGTATAATAAAGTATTGATCATAACAAATAATCCCTAAGTCATCTTTCATGATAAATGAACTCTCATCATTTTAATAAATATCTCAATTATTTGGGTTATATTGATTATAAAAATATGATGGGTTGCATTTGAATCATCTTCTATACATACATATATATATATAGAGAGAGAGGGATTCATTCAAAGAAAGAACCGATTAGTTTGTGGTAACTGTGAGATCCAATCTCAATCACAAATCAACTGATAAATTAAGAAATTAATAATTACGGTAATTTGAGTTAAAATTATAATTAGAGGACAATTTAGGTATTTTTAAAAAACTCCTCTCTCCTCTCTTATCTCTCCGACCTCCAATCTCCAGCCTCCGGTGAATATTAATCCGGCAGGTACCAAGTAATCACAAAGATACACAATATGATACCCATTGTGATACCAACTCAAACCTTAAAAATAAAGATACACAATGTGATACTCATTGTGATACACTGAGTTACCGATTATGATACACTGTGATACCGATTTCACCGAAGGCCAGGGATTAAAGGTTGGAGAGATGAGAGTTTTTTAAAAATACCTAATATGCCCTTTAATTATAATTTTAACTCAAACTACTATAATTATTAATTTTCTAATTTATCCGTTGATTTGTGGACCTCACAATTACCACAAACTAATCAGTTCTCATTTGATTAATATCAAAGCCCTATATAGGGAGTGAATTTTACATTGAGTGCAGCTTGAAGGATTTTGCTGTCGAACCCCAGCACCAAATCTCTAACGCTGGAGTATGCTCCCGATGATGATCCTTCCTACATTATGATATGCACAATCAACAGATGTTAAAGACTTATGATCATGAAAATGTCGTATCAATTTCTATCTGGGTATTTAAGTTTGCGTGATCATACTAATAGCTCCTCCTTCGAATCGGAAAAAATGGCGTTAATCCGAAGTTTCTGGCGATCGAATTCTAAGTTGTTCTGTAAGTAAAAGAAAGATCCGCTACGAAGCCTGTAAACATCTCCGGCCTGCAAATTCACTTGCCGGAGTTCACCGTAATCTTGCTCGACACCGGTCCAACTCAAAGTTCCATTCCCTAATTGTGATCCATTTGAGAAGTTTTACAGTACAACTAATCAATGCATGATTATGATGGGAGAATGATAAAATTAGCAGTGAAGGGTTGTACCTGAATCGACGAAGAACACCATATCGGAATGGAGATGAACAGGAAGGAAAAGAGAGCCAGGTTCCATGGTGATGAACTGAAGATGGTAGAATCCGTCTTTACCATCACTCATTTTAACGGCTGTGATCTCACCAAACGCCGACGACGCCACCAGCCACCGCTGATCCCTCTTGACCAACGTCCCATGCATTGCCGTCGCCGGCACCGGAAAATAACCGCCACCGCCTTCTTTTACATCTCCACCACCACCACCCAAAGCAGAAGTGGGGTTGGGAAACGAGAGATAGAAAAGGAGAACATGGATTAGGAGCCAAATTGTAGCCATTTTCTTGAAATTGAAGCAAGAATTGTGAGTTTAATGGTGTTAAGTGGGTGGTGGATGGGGGTTTGATTTATCGGAGTAGGAGAGTGATGTGGCAGTGGGTGTTGGACACGTGGGCGATGAGTAGGCTACGTGGCGGATGGTTTATTTGACCGTCTTCTTCTTGTTCACATCCGTGAGTCGTGAACTTGTATATATCGTTCTGTTTTTATTTATTTATTTTGGTATTTATTTAATTTAAAGGTTTCATTTAAATTATTATAATTTTGAGAATTTTTACGTAATCTATTATTTTATATAATTTTTTTTATCTAGATATAGTATCGGTTCACAATGTGAAACTTTTTTTTATGTGTATTTTGTGTTTCATAAGCATTCTAAAAAGTTTCACATTGTAAATCGAATACGTATCAAATAAAGACATTTTGAAACAAATATATGTTAATCAATAATATTCTAAATTTAATTGAATTTAATTTTATTTGGTTGGTATATTAAAGTTTGTTGTTTCAAAAAGTTTATATGTAAAATGAGAAAGTAAATAAAATAATTTAGGTTAAAATTTATGTATTTATATATTAGCAACGGAAGTTAAATTTGATTGGTGGCATGTTGGTTCATTCCATCGGAATCATGAATGTATTCTTTTTTTACATCGAGTCATTTAATAAAAAAATTGCAAGACTTTCAAATTTAAATTTACCAAATCTATAGAGGGAGAGAAACGTTTAAATAAAAACTACTTAATTTGTATAAACTGTGAAAATCTCATTCAATCAATCATAATTTTTTATTTTGTTTATTTTTTTTGGTAATTATGAGAGGTTGATTAACCATTTTATTGTAGAGAGTGTTAATTATGGATATTATTATCTTCATTATTTTAATTTTAGAAAAATACATGAAACGATTTCATTAAAATTTCATTAAATATTATATGAAACAAATTCACCAAAAAAAGTATTATATGAAACAATTTTTATAAGATTAAACAATTTCATGAAAAAATCTCATAAGATTAAACAATGAAATCGGCGTATGAAGGTGGTTTTTACGGTTTGTACAAATGCGGGTGGTTTTCATTTGATCGCTCCTCTATATATATATATATATATATATATATATATATATTAAAAGAAAAACTAAGAGTATTGATGTGACATTATTAGAATTGAGTATTGAGGTGTTGGTGAATTGTGGTTGAGTTTGAGATATCTCACATTGGTGAGAGATTGAAAGATTGAAATAAAAATATGTGTATAAGAAAGAAGGATGAGATCAATTATGCTAACTGTTGAGGTTGAGTTTGAGATATCTCACATTGGTGAGAGATTGAAATATTGGAATAAGGAGGTGTGTATAAGAAAGAAGATGAGATTCATTGTGTCAACTCATAATACTTGACTCATAAAGTTATCTTACTTGAATGACCATATTTTTATAAAACAAATCATATCTATATTTATACTGTATTATAAAACATTTGACAAAAACTCTTAAAAACTATTTTTTATGCATGAATTATTGTTTATTGATGCATATTACTTAAAATTTAAAAGTACAAGTAATTTTGCATAAGTACAACTTATTAAAGTTTTATTTTTAAATTCATGTAACTAACTGCAGATAAATATGATCAAATACATGATAAACATCCATTTTAAATATAAAAAATCTAAAATATAATTAAGATAATCATTGAGCTATAAAAGAATGTTTAATTATTATATTTATAAAAAATATATTATTAAACCAAAAACAAATTACTTTGTTATTATATCTAGATTAAATAATAATTAAAAATTGAATTAAAAAAGATACACAAAAAAAACGAGAACTATTAAATAGTTAATTTGATATTAATATTAATTTATTTTTTTCAAATTTTTATACTATCGTCACATTTATATCTCATTCAAAAATAAAAACATTATTGCTTTTTCAAAACCACATAAAATCATATTATATCAATAGAGACAGAATAAGAACTAAGCATTAAAATGAAATTTTATCTCGCTGCATTGCGCGAGTACCCATCTAGTTATATAAAAATAAAAATGAATTATGTTTACAATCATCAATATATATATATATATACACACACACACACACATACACACATGTATATTTAAATAAGAACCAGAAGGTAATTAGGTGTGTCATGAGAATTGGATATTGAAGTGTTAATGAATTATGGTTGAGTTTGAGATATCTTACTTTGATGAGAGATTGAATTAATATATATATATATATATATATATATATATTAAAGGAAAACCCAAGAGGTATTGAGATGACATCATGAAAATTGAATGTTGAGGTGTTGGTGAATTGTGGTTGAGTTTGAGATATCCGACATTGATGAGAAATTGAAAGATTGAGATAAGAATATGTATATAAGAAAGAAAATGAGATTCATTGTGTCAACTCAAGAGCTTGACTCATAAGATTATCTTGTTTGAATGACCATATTTTTGCAAAACAAATCTTATTATATTAACATAAGAACGAGGAGGTAATTAGGTGTGTCATCAGAATTGGGTATTGAAGTGTTAGTGAATTGTGGTTGATTTTGAGATACCTCACTTTGATGAGAGATTGAATCATCAATATATATAAGAAAAATTCAAGAGATATTGAGGTGGCATCATGAGAATTGAGTATTGAGGTGTTGGTGAATTGTAATTGAGTTTGAGATATCTCAAATTGGTGAGAAATTGAAAGATTGAGATAAGGATGTGTGCATAAGAAAGAAGATGAGATTCATTATGTCAACTCAAGGGGCTTGACTTATAAGGTTATCTTATTTGGATGACCCTATTTTTGTAAAACAAATCTTATTATATAAAAATAAAAAAGAATTGTGTTTATATACATATACATATATATATATATATATATATATAAAAGAAGTACCAAAAAGTATTGAGGTGATAACACGTGAATTTAGTATTTAGATGTTGGTGAAAGAGTAAAAGATTGGAATAATGAGGTGTATATAAGAAAGAAAGATGAGATTCATTGTTTCACTCATGAGGTTGATCCATCAATAATCAATATACATATATATGCATATATATATATATATGTATATATAAGAAGAACCAAGAGATATTGAGGTGACATCATGAGAATTGAGTATTGAGGTGTTGGTGAATTATAATAGAGTTTGAGATATCAAATATTGGTGAGAGATTAAAAGATTGGGATAAGAAGGTGTACATAAGAAACAAGGACCAGATTCATTGTGTCAATTCAAGGGATGTTGAAATCAAAGCTAACCAAATAGTAAAATTATAGTGTAAAATACAAAGTTGAAAACAAATTATCCATTTCACAAAAATATCAATCATCTTGAATAAGATTGAGTTTTATCATCCCACATTGATGAAAAGATGGTAATTTGAAAGAAGATGAATGATATATAAAGAAGCAATTGATGCTTTGAAATCTATAACCGTATGTGGAATCAAAACCAACCAAATGATAAAATTATAGTGCAAAACACAGTTAAAATATCATGCAAAACACAAAGTTAAAAATAAATTAAAGTATAAAGTAAACAAACACAAGATTGATATTGCACCCAAATAATGAGTAATCTTCATTTCTTGAATTGTGATCGAGTTTTTTTTTATCTCATATTGATGGAGATATAAAAAATTGATAATGAATGATATGTATATAAAAAGTGGTTGAGATGCTTTTGTGGCAACTAATGGGGTAGGCTCCCCCATAAACCAATCATATAAACTCATGTTGTTGACTCATTTTGACTGACCCTTCAAACTAATAGAGTCCATTCAATTTGATCAACCCTCTTAAAATGTTAATCTATATAAAAAAATTAAATAAACATATATACCATTAATAAATCAATATATCTCAATGTCAAATATCATTAAAGTAATAGAAGAAGAAGTAAGCGTGATTAATGATATTGTGATATTTGAGTATTCATAATTATTCTGTTGATATTGAATTTGATAATCCACATTGATGAGAATACGATAAAGCAAAATGACGCGAGTATATGAGTTTTGTTTTTTTAGCCCACACTCTAAACGAAATACATTTGCATTTTATTATAAGTAAATCAACGAATCACTTTCATTTTAATTTTGTTACATAATTTTTAAATAAATCAAATTCGTCACCATGCAACGCATGATGGAAAAGACTAGTTATAATAATAGCAGTTGGGTTGTGTTTATGCATGTGGGGAGGTAGGGTGCTCATGGGTTGGGTTGATCGAGTTGAGAATATTTGAACAACCCAACTCAATGCTTGCGGTTTGGAAAAATCTTAACTCAACCCAACCCAAACCAAAGTGCAACCCAACCCAACCCAACCCGTACGGGTTGGTCGGGTTGATACTTTGGTATATTAAAATATTTTTTTAACCTTGAATATGTTATTTTTCTATTCATAATTTCTTTTTCATCATCAACCATTTGATACAACTTATTCATATTTCTTACGTATATCACATTCAGTTAATTTTCTCAATTTACATATATATGTTCACAGTTACTGAATGAGTTATATAGAGATATGAATAAATTAAAAATATGTGTATATGAAAAACATACATAATAGTGTAATCGTCTAATGTATATATTAATAGAAATTCAACAATCATATTAAATCCAAGAAATAAAAGAATATCAGGTTCATCGGGTTGGGTTGTGTTCAAATAATAGTAACTCAATATCAACCCAATACTTACGGTTTGACAATTTTACAACTTGATTAGACGTCGGGTTGCTTCGGGTTGGGTTATTTTGCGTTGGGTTGGGTTGGATCGATCGGGTTGGTCGGGTTTTTAAGCACCCCTATGTGGAGGGGTGGATCCATGATATTTGTCAAGCGGATGTACATTTAATATGGATAGAAGGTACATAAAATCGTTCCTGTGTGTTTTTAGTCGAATTCCACTATTCTGACAGATTTTTAAGTTTTTGTTTTTTTTTTTTTTTTGAGGGATTTTTAAGTTTTTGGAT